CCCCCCCCCGTATCTCTCGATACGAATTATCCCAGCCGCAACTGAACTTCACGCGCCGTTCCCTTCGGCTGTTTCAGTAGCGAAATTATGTCGAGGCCCAGGTAAACAAATTTTTTGTTTCGATTACGAAAATTTCTTATAACAACAACACAGATAACATAATCAGTTATAATTTTTCGATTTCAGCCAAGTACTTAGTGCGGAAACTGAGACGGCTCGGGACATCAAAGCGTCAGCCGGCTTCTCATTCATCAACGGATCCGAAGGAACTCGTGAAATTCGCACGACATACGCGTGACTGGAAGATCTGTAAAATACATGAAAACCAGCCGGGAAACCCTCTTCGCCAAGCCGTGATAATCGTTTCAAAGACTAACAGAGATACTTAGGGTGCGTTCATAAAACGACAACCGAATATCAAACCACCCCTCCAGAGTTGATTTCACCCAAGAATGGCTTCCCACAATGAAGACGTCTATACCAACGTATATTATCTCCCTCTATTTATTCAGCGCCTAATAAGGGTTGGCTCATTCACCAAAAGGACGTTTTCCTAGATGGCTTATTTAGCCACCTGGAAAAACAGATCGCATCTCCCGGTTCCAGGAGTATCGAGCTTTGCAAATTTCAACGTCCACCGTGTTTTCCCAGATAACAATCAGAGAGAGAGAGAGAGAGAGAGAGAGAGAGAGATGTCTCGCAAAACCTGAAACGTCCTTCCGCAAAATTACCGCAATTATCGAGACTACTTCTTCCATTCCCACCGCCACCACCCCTCCTTACCTCGTGCTACAATTATCCATGAAAACTGTATTAAGCTTCGTTGTCATGTGAACCGGTACAGTAGCTGACGTGGACACCGTCACGTCCACGCGGAGTTCCGATATTTTTTCGTTATGCGCCACCCCACCTTTCCACCTTTTCGCACAGTCTTCTCCACGTCGTGCAAAAATTACGCAGTTTATCTCCCAGTCGGCGAATGCTAAATCCGGAGCTCGTAGCCATTTCTAAAAGTTGCGAGTTTTCACTGCATTGTCGCAATTTACAGGAGCAAAAGGAAAAAGTGTGGCGGGTCGCGCAACGGACGACTCCTCTTAACTCTGTCATGCGTCCGTAATGTCCCTTACGGGAAAAGGAAAACAGCCGTGGTACCAGTCACGGACCTCGTGGCTGCATGTGCCCCCTTGTACTTACTAAGTTCTTATATATAGCACATACGCTCAGTTACATAGCCGTTCGGTTCGGTAGACCAACAGAGGTTGGATATGTGTACAGTACGAACGTGACTGTACCGTATCTATATGTTGCTTGTGTATTCTTATCGGTGTTATTTGCCAAGGGAGAATTTCTCGAGAAAATATATACATATAGTATAGCTGTGTAACGTATAGATGGTTAGGATCCCGTTCGAGGGCTGCTACCACTTTCATAGCTCGTTGCCAAACTTCAACCGCAATCGATACCCTCTAGTTTTATTTTATTATTGTCAGGGACTGTACACCCTGGCGGGATTAGTCGAACGTGTCTACAAATTTAAACAGCCTTTATCATTTCAAGTGAATGCCGGATGCTGAGCGAATTTCAACAGTCCGATTAGATCGATTCTGCTCTTACACTATTTTTGCCCTTTTTTGTTTTACAGCGACAGCTTCTCTTTCGTTCAACCCACTTCCGCTTGGAACAGATTACCAACCGGAAGTGCTGCCATCAAGGAAATGCAGCGTCTCCGTTGCACCGAATTGCGGACGTAAGGGGATCGCGCTGGGTGCCGAGAGCTGTACTTTCTTACGAGGTAGCCGTGTTGCCAGAGGACCAAAGAGATCAGCGATGAGAAGAAGGGTAGAAAATAATTTGCCGGACGACACGAAGGGTGAGTTTTATTTTTTTTTTGTAAATTTGGATTTTCTCGGAAATTTATATATATCCGTTATTATAATCATTTGTCGGCTTGATCTTATTATGGACCAAAGTTACATTTTTCATTGAAAAACAAAAATTTAGGAATTAATAATTATGAAACTGAGGTCTTGGGTAGGCAAATATAATTTAGTTGTTTTCGACGAGAGAGAATATTTATGGCTGTTCTTTAAACTTTTACTCACCCGTTACAATTACGTTAATTCTCTTTACGAGTGGCGGATGCGTCGCTACCTGACATTTGTAAAGACCCGTGTCTCGCAGGGAAGCGTAGAGAATCTGCAGCCTCCAGTTGCTTGGGTATCTGAAACATGAGATAAGACGGATGAAGATAAGGGGTGGCGAAGGAGGGGGGGGG